CCAATATTTTCACTGATGTCTATCACTTTTGATACTATTGACCATGACTTGCTAATTTCATGGTCATGGTCCATGGAATTTGTGACCCTTGGCTTCTGTAAAATCAAAGCAACCTTATTGCAAACAATGGCCCAAATTTTGAACATGTCTGATTTGACTTTACTAATAATTACCTACATCTACAATACAAAAAGTTCAAATTTACATAAGCCATAATGTATTTTATGTACAGTATTACAATCTTTAATAATAATAACTTTATTATAACTATAATTTATTGTACAGTATTTTGATTTTGTAATTTTTCTTCTTGATTTGGTTTTAGTTTTCCTTTTATTTTTTGTAATTAATTTAAAATTCTTTTGTTTAACATTAGTTAAGTTTGATTATTACAGTATGTCTGTTTAATACGGCATTGATGAAAAACACCATTGAGGTGATCAATTGTTTTCCGTGGTTAAATAAAGTTATTTATTATTATATTATTACAAACATTTTACAATTCTTATGGAAAACCAATCATTCTCTTACCTGTAGGCCCTACTGTATTTTACCTGACAGTCAACTTTACTGACATGCTCAACAATGGAAAAAGGTAATTTACAATGCATAACCCTACAGAGACTAGCAGAGATATACTGTAAAAACTATAAACAGAGTCAATGACAGGTTGGACTCAATTGGGGTTTCCCCATATCATGTCACTATAGAGAATGTTTAACATTTGGGAATTACCCTCAAACATTCAGTTAAATCACCGAGCTCCTTTAAATGGTTTTTCCTAGCTCAACAAAGAGAGCAAATATTTCTAAACATTAAATCAGTTAATAATTTAAAAAATACACTTAAGTTTGAAATACTTTTTTTTTAATCAATAAAAGTTTTGTCTTTTTCAAAGTAAGGAAGATTGAACTTTATTTTAATTACGCCCACCACTGCCTCCATTTATATGTACCGGTATATTTCTTCCTAATTATCAATTCAGAGCTTTTAAACATCCCATTACTACACTGTTTACATTCACCAATAACATTTTTATTTTATTTTCTCCGCCACAAAACTCTTTGCTAAATGAAAACCAAAATTTTAATTTCTTTTTTCGCCTGCCTCTGATGATCTTTAAAAAAATAAGTTCGCGAAACAAGGTATAAAAAATTCTCAAAGTGTGGTGGATCACTGACCACTTTTTCTCCTAAGTAAAACTGACTGCGAATTGTGTGACACACAAAGTGAATGCAGTGCTAAAGATAGCTTTTCCATATACTGTACTAATACTGTAGGCTCATAAAAATTAGTCATAACATAGTTCAAGAGGAATAGTTACCTTCCAGAGTTCTGTTTTGTTGCTTCAGAAGCTAAAGTTATGTATATCACGATACCTTTGTTACAATGTTCCTTTAACATTGTGTTGTGTTGGAAACCCATTGTCCAATGAAAATTGTTAATTTAGAATAGCTTTTCCATCTTTATAGGGAAATGTATTTATAGTCATTACAGACTCAATTGGGGGTTTTCCTTACTTTGGATTGACTATACATCATTCTACAGAAAGTAACATTTTTAAATATCCCCCAAACATTGAACTAAAACTGCTCATTAAAAATCTAAGATCCAATGAGATACTGATAAAAAAAAAATCAATCTTTCTAATTAAGACTTTGTACTCAACTCCTTAAATTTTAAAGGGTTTGCACAAAGAACAAACTGTTTTAATGCAACTAATTTGTCTGTTCATGCAAGAAAAATATTTTTCCATTCTACCAGCAATTGTAAATTCAGTTCAATTCAGGCTGTGGATATTGTTCCGACAACCTTACATGAATCCAAGGTGTTGATATTACTGGAGCTGGGTTGACCCTAACCTTAAACTTAAGTCTTAATGCATTACATGGCATGTCGGAAAAATACATAAGTATGTGGTCAAATTGAAACCTGTCAATACGAGCGGATGCCACATTGAGCGGACGTCACTTCGAGTGAATGCCAGTTTGAGTGGATACTATTTTGAGCGAAAAATGATCTACTTATTTCAAACATTTAAACATAGTGAAAAATTCCTATTTCTACTGAACAATACTTTGATAGTTTTTTGCCCTCTTCGGAATAAAATTTGCTAAAATGTTGTTTTCTGATAGCTTTACTACCTATTTAATAGAATTTTTTGTTTAGTCTTACACATATCTGGGAGTGGCGAACGGAATAATTATTAAAAGTATCATGAAACCTTTCAAAGCCTTAGTTACACATGTACTTTGGCATTAAATAAAAAAAACACAATCTGTATCATTTGTTATTGGATAAATTCGCCTGTTATACTGTAGTTGGCACTAATGCATCTGCTTGAATTGGCATTCGCTCGTATTGACTGGCATTCATTCAAATAAAGTAATCTTACTTACAAAATAAGCAATTCATTAAATTTTATTGTTTATGGTTTTTTTCTAATACAATGCAGAGACTAATATTTAAAACATTACAGCAAAAACAGTTTAAATAAATTTGGATGATTTAATATACTGTACCTCAACCGCACAATGCATTTGTGACAGATAAACTATTTTTTTCTTTAATACATGAATGTTTTAATTTAAGGGTGTACGCTTTTATTCGTCATAAAAACATGTATGATTTAGGTGAGGGTGGGAGAGGGGAAGGTGGAAGAAAGTCTGTTAAATTTTTCACCCCACCCAATACCGTCTTTAAATCCAACCCTGTTGGCTATATGCTAATTCATTAGCGCCCATCCTTTTCGCTATCGATATTGCAGTTATAGATACCTAAACCTGCCGCCCGCCAATAATAATGATGATTTTGAATAAAAATGAAATTTTATATTTTTTATATTTTTTTTTTTAAATCACCAACAAAAGTGTATGTATATTCCTTCCTAATAAATTTAAAGCACTTAACCATTCAATTTCACCAATACAATTTTATACAGTCGAGTTCGCCTAAGTCGAATCTAACTGGACTGGCATAAAAAGTTCAAGTTATAAATACAGATTTCGACTTGCACATTTTCGAAAAAAAAAAATTAACATAGAACAATAGTACTGTATTTGCACTCAATGCTCACAAAATCAAATTTCACGCAAAACCGAACATTTTCTTAAGTCCCAAAGTCATTTCTATTCTTCTTTTAATAAAATACTTTCCAAAAACATGAACTCCCTCTTCTAAATCTTGGACGATTTGTCCAATTTAGGACGGTAACACTCACTCGAAAAACCAGATGATAGTTTAATAGACATCTTTTAACGACAAGCATACCAGACACTGTGGAAACGAGACGCTTAGCTGTACTCGCATTGCCATGGAGATTATCTGTTGATTAATACGACACACCAGTAGACGTTTTGTTGGTTTATTATGAAGTGAAATTTACGCATTTCAATGTTTTAATAAGCGTATATTCTTGCTTTTAATCCTTAAAAACCATTTGCAATCAACCTGCAATAAAGACGGAACTCAACAAAGCAAGTTTCTACTGGTTATTCTTTTCAGTAGACATCTAATTCAAATTCGTTAGATTCATTGGTGTAAATTTCAAATGCACCTCATTCATTCTTTAAACTCAATACGCTTTTCAAAACATGTTTCTAATTTTTTTACGGAGGAAATTTGTAGAGAATAAAATATAATTTGTTAGGTTTATATAGATTTGACTCTAAAATATACCATGAGGGTTTCTTATTTGTTTTTTTTTGTTTTTTTTATAAATTTGTTTTTAACAATTAAAACATTCTTGATTAATACACCGAGCTTGTTACTGTCACGCACTATGAAACTTTGGGCGATCTGACGTCATCACAGCCGAAGCACATGTCTAGTCTGCAAAACACCCCACGGAATGGACCAATTGGCGGGCAAGCAGAGTTTTTGGGGGCGCAACCTGTTCTGTTTACAACTAGACTGCCGACCAGCAAGTGGTATTCTCAGCGAAGAATGTGTGCTTGGAAAAACATAATCAGACCTAAAGAAATGCGCGCAAAAACAATATAAAAGTGGCATCAGTTTTATTGGTAATAATTAAATTTGCTGAGCAGTACAGCAAAACAACAGGTACTGTACGTATTATTAAATAGGCCTAATGTGTCAAATTTGTGTAGGCTAGGCTAGGCAGTCAAAAGAATCCAGGGCTTTGATAAATTAATTACGGTAAATAGCTAGGCCCTGACTACAACAATCTTGTTCGAAATGGGTTAAATACAAGTTTTACAAACTGATCTGGACGAAAAACTGAACATTGGAGCTGTTCCAGAGGGGTCTGTATTGTGAGAGTAGACTGCAACTTACGACATACGATCATGTGAGCCAAGTTCCACAGTGCGCTGTCTGTGAGATGTTAGTTTTGACATGGCTAACTTGTTGCCGTAAAACAAGGATTGAACTTCGTATTTTCCCACGTGCGCTACTAAATTTGGAACTTCGACTTGTGTGGTTAAAATTACTTTAATTCACGAAATAGACTTGGGCTATCCGGACCGGAAAATTCCGTCGATATAGCCGAAATTCGACTTATAACAATTCTAATTAAACAAACAATTTACACAGTAATACATAGGAAAGAATTGGGACTTTTTCAAAAATTCGACTGACGCGAATTTTCGACTTAAACAGAGTCGACTTTGGAGGACTCGACTGTATTTATATTCTCCTCCATCTGAATGTTTTTGGAAAAACTAATTGCTAAAAAAGAAAACATTTTTTCTTTCATCCCTTTTGACGAAGTTTGCGAAACAAGGTATAAAAAAAGTCTCGCCTGAGTAATGACCATTTGTTTTCAAAAGCCCATTGAAATGAACTAGCTAGCTCTAGGCCCCCTACTGTCCTGGCCATGAGTCTATTCCACGTCGCCGATGCTCGCGTTGAATCCACGTTTAGTCACACACAATGTAACATTAACAATCTCAACAATTACAATGTCAGGCCTAGGCCTAGCTAGAATTTAGTGGAGGTTAGCAAGAGAAATTAAGTTATAAAGTAACAAGTATTCGTACCTTCTTCAGAATTACAGCGATCACGGATTGATAGATAGCTACTTGTGTATTTACTCATATGGCTATTAAGTGAATGATGACCGAACGAACAATCAGTTATTCTCCTGCATCATTTCCGTTTGTTTGACGGTTTCGCAAAAAACAAAAAAATGTCTCGTGACATTCATCATTCATCTCTTTTGTTTTGGGTCATGCTCGGTCACCCATATCGTTAACCTGCACAATAACATTTAATTTGTAAACAGTTTGTTTTACTTTATAAATAAAAATGTAACATCTTCGAAAGTATTTAAATGCTTAAAAATAAACGCTTAATGATTATACTTTTTAGAATAAGGATACTCAAAATCTGTTATTTTAATGTACACTAAAACATCTCAGTGATGAAAGTGAGTATTTTTAGAGCAGACGAGAACTTCTGCGGTGTCACACAAACACACTGGATGTGTCATTTGAAATCAGGAAATTTTTGATATTTAACACAAACCAAGATGAGCGCTCAAGAGGAATTAGGTAAATATGTAATCTGTAAATCTTATTCTAGGCTGTTACTAGCTAGGTAGTACTGTAAGAAGGCTACCAGTTGTACTATTGCCTAGAGTATGCTAGGGCCTAGGCTAGGCACTAGCCTAGGCCTAGGCTAGAGTAGTCTAGGCTAGGCCTAGTAGTAGGCCTAGGCTAGCCTAGTCTAGTCTATAATAGAATTTACCTTGAATTTACCTTGAATTTACTTTGAATCTTCGAGACTTAGAGATCAAAGTTCATTTGTCCCTCAATCATTATCGAATCCTCTTCGGTCATATACAGGCAAAATTTAAGGTGGTGGCCAGACCAGACTTTCTCTAAGCCCGCTTTAAAATGATTTACCAAACTCTGATTTACCACATTACTAGGAAGGGAGTTCCAATCGTCAGTAACTCGAACAACGAATGCCTTTTTCCTAACATTAAGTTTAAATTTCTGTTTATACAACTTATATACATGGCCTTTGGTTATAGAATAATCTGATCTTGTAAACTAGCGCTCAGGGTCCAAAAGATCAATACCTTGAAAAATCTTAAAGGTCTAAATGACATCTGCTCGTTTTCTTCTAAATAACAAAGTTGGCAAATTAAGAGCCTTAAGTCTCTCCACATAAGCTTTGTCACTCAGACTTCTAATCAATCTGGTGGAGCCTTCTCTAATAAATCAGAATCTTTTTTATATTTAGAATTCCAGACACAACTACCGTACTCTATCACAGGACGAATCATTGACTTATAGAGACGCAAAAAACCATTACCATCAAGAAATTTAAATGCTCTTTTGACCAGACCCAATCTTCTATTTGCTGCTCTTGCAACCTTTACAGAGTGCTTAGAAATATCCAACTTATCATCAGATAGAATACCAAGATCTGATTCCTCCTTAACACGTACAATTTCACATCTTGATGTACCAGTACCAATAAAATATTTAAAATTAAAATTTTTATCTCCATAATGCATAACCTTGCATTTTGTTAAGTTAAATGGCAATTGCCAGTCTATCGACCACTGGTATAAAGCATTTACACCCCCCTGTAAAATCTCACGATCAGTCTCACAATTGACAAATATAAACAGCTTACCCTTAGTATCGTCCGCAAACAATTTTATAAATGAATCATTAAGCATTTAGCATTAACATTATATATTGTTCAAATTTTTGCTGATATTATTATTATTACATATATATATATAGTACATATATTTATAGTACCATATAAATAATAAATAATTTTCGATTTTTTATTATTATTATTATTCATATTATTATTATTATTATTTATTAGTCTTTAGTATTATAATTTTAATAATAGTAATTTAAAAAGTTGTTGTTATTGGCGCCATTAACATTATATATTGTTCAAATTTTTGCTGATATTATTATTATTACATATATATATAGTACATATATTTATAGTACCATATAAATAATAAATAATTTCGATTTTTTATTATTATTATTCATGTTATTATTATTATTATTTATTAGTCTTAGTATTATAATTTTAATAATAGTAATTTAAAAAGTTGTTGTTATTGGCGTTTTATTAGTATTTTTCTCATATTATTATTAATATTATTGTTGTTGTTGTCACCTTTATTATCGATATTATTACCCTATTATTACTAAGTAGGCCTAGTATTATAAGTATCATTATTATTATTATTACTAATTAGTATTACTATTATTATAAAAATAAACATTATCTTTAATTTATTATTGTATTATTGCTGTTATCGCCTTCGATATCGTTATTATCACTAATTAGTTATAATAATAATAATAATAATAAGATTTATTAGAATTAGAATTGATATTTAAATATATTATTATTACCATACTAGTATTATTACTCTTTGTTAAA